AAAGGAAAGAGACCTCGGATAAGCAAAACACTACTGAAGAAGAAAAACAAAGTAGGAGGTCTCACATTGCCGGATCTCAAAACCTACTATACAGCCACAGTAGTCAAAACTGCCTGGTATTGGTTCAATGACAGATACATAGACCAATGGAACAGAATTGAGAACCCAGATACAGATCCATCGACCTATAGCCAGCTGATCTTTGACAAAGGCCCAAAATCCATTAAATGGGGAAGAGAATGTTTGTTTAATAAATGGTGCTGGCAAAACTGGAGATCCATTTGCAGAAAAATGAAACAAGATCTGTACCTCACACCACACACAAAAACGAACTCCAGATGGATCAAAGACTTAAATGTGAAACCTAGAACTATACAGTTCCTCAAGGAAAATTTAGGGTCAAATTTAAGGGCCCTAGTACATGGCATAAATAAACTACCAAGCATAATTCAAAATGCACAAACAGCAGAAGAGAAACCAGATGATTGGGACCTTCTGAAGATTAAATTTTTATGTGCTTCCAAAGACTTCTCCAAAAGAGTCAAAAGAGAACCTACAGATTGGGAAAAAATATTTGGTAATAACATATCTGCCAAGTGGTCCAACATACTGTCACTGTTATTAAACAATAGCCCAGGCTATCCAGTAGCTATGGATCAATTAAATTATTAAAGGAAAAGGACCAAGGTGAGGAAGGTGACAGCAAGGATGTTTTATGCATTTTTTAGTCAGGTATTCATCAAGATAGATTTGAAATTCAGAAGGTTGTTCTGCTAGGATAGATCTCGTATGTGCTCCACAACACACTTGATTCTCATTTAAACTTAGGTGTAATGTGCCTAACGCACAGTCAGTACTAAATAACTATGAATACAACGCTAGCTAGCCATAGAAATGTTTTATTCCATGGAAGTACATAATTAGTAAGTATAAGGTGATTGTTTTTTCAAACCCACCTCCATAAAGTTGCAACATGAAACTAGCTATCTGCCTGCATCCTTCTTTCAAAGTTGTTGTCCCATGCCAGGTTTTAGTACAGCCTTTCCATGGATCCCTGCCTAAGGAAGCTTAGCTTTGAGAATTTCTAACATTTGATTTAATCTTCTTTGAATCCACTTAAGGAAAACTTTTATGATCAAAAAACCTCTATTCTGAGAGTCTAGACACATCATCAGGTAATTCATGCTAAGGCTAAAGACAAAAACTGGTGAAAATACCTTGCCAAGGACTACTTTTCAAAGGGCATTTGTGTTTTCACTTTGTAGGATGAGGTATGTTTGTGGATCCTTATCCTTGGAGAAAAAAATGTGTAAGTCTTTTACATGCTCATGCGTTCTGTTTTCTGCCCCCCACCCCCAGAGTTATAAAAGGTGTTTGGAAAGATGACCTTTACAATATTTTCGTTAATTTTTCTTTTTTTTTTTTAAAGGCCACTGTAGAAACAATCTGGCATCCTCAAAAGTTAAACATAGTTACCATATGACCCAGCAATTCCATTCTTAGGTATATTATATACCCAAGAAATATGAAAGCATATGGTCCATATAAAAATATGTACATAAATGTTCCACAGCAGCATTATTCCTAATAGCCAGAAGAGAAATAACTCAGATGTCCTTCAACTGATGAATGAATGGATAAAAAAAATTGTAATATACTCATAAAATGAAATATTATTTGACAATAAAAAAGATATGAAGTACCATGAAGTACCAATAAGGATGAACCTTGAAAACATTATGCTAAGTGAAGGGAGTCAGTCACAAAGGAGCACAGATCATGTGATTTCATTCGTATGACATGTTCAGAATAGGCAACTCCATAGAGGCAGATAGTAGAGGCGTGGTTGCCTAGAGCTGGGGGAGAATGGAGAGAACACAGGGTGATGGCTAAGTGGTGTGGGGCTCTTTTAGGGGTAAGGAAAATATTCTTCATTGGATTATGATGATGAATGCAAACTGTGAATATACTAAAAGCCACTGAATTGTACACTTTACATGGGTGAATTACATGGCATGTGCATTATATCTTAATAAAGCTTTAAGAAAAAAAGAAAACAGCCATCTGAGGGAGAGCTCTAGAACACCCCACCGGGCAAGGGCCTTATGTATGTTTATTGTCCTGAGAGAGATCAGGGCCTCAAAAAAAGCTAGAAACAAAAAAAAAAAAAAGGCTACAAACAAGAAAGATTAAGTAAAATAGACTAATAAAACAGTATTTCTTTAAGACTGTTATACAATTTGACCTTTTACTAAAGTGCACACACTGTAAAATACTTATAAAAAATATTATGCGGGGGAGCTCTGGTGGTGTAGTGCCTAAGGCATACACGACTGCTAACCAGAAGGCTGGCAGTTCAAATCCAACAGCCACTCCTCGGAAGGAAAGATGGACAATCTACTTTGTAGTGATAACACCTTGAAAACCCAAGGAGGGGTCATTATGAGTAGGACGGACTTGACGGCAGGGATGCTTTTTTTGTTTTTTTTTTTTGGTATGGGCGAGAGGCTCTAAAAATCAATATGCAGTATATAAGAAGTCTTGTGTACTAGCACCCACTTCTAGCTTTAAAATCAGTAATAATTCTACTTATTATGTTCAGTTATCCTCAATTCTTTATTCAGAGTATGAAATGACAAATACTAACTTCCTGGCCTCTTGTACTCCATGAATAAACGTTTTAGTGCCCTCTACTGGCTACTTTTTATATCTAGCCAGCCTTCTGGGATAAAACAAATCACTCCCACTAGAAAATGGGTTAGGAGCTCTGGTAGCACAGTGCCTAAGGCACCTGACTGATAACCAGAAGGCTGGTGGTTCAAACCCACCAGCCACTCCTTGGAAGGAAGGTTGGGCAATCTACTTCTGTAGTGATACTGCCTCAGAAACCCAAGGAGGGGTGCTATGAGTCGGGTCCAACTCCACGGCACATAACAACAACAACAGAAGATGGTTACCACTGCCGGGTGTGCTGAGGATACCTGAGGGAGACCGCTGCAGGGTGCACTAAGGATACCTGAGAGAGGGAGAAGACCAGATAAAACCCCTCCTCTCCTCAATGTACAATGTACAACCTCTCAGAGGTCAGAGAGTGGCTACAACCCAGGCCATACTACCCCTTCTTCAAAACCACCTGTTTAACAGCTAAGCCAATGCCTCAAAAGGATAGGACACATTCTAAAATATTTCCTGGCCACTCATGGGTACGAGTCCAGTGGTAATGATGAATTTAACAAAGCCTCCTCCCCTGCACCACAGCTGGCCTGACCTGCATCCACCTCCAGTGACCAGTCATCTCTACTCTTACAGGTTCTTCCATAGGCTAAGCCCTAGTGACACTCCAAACCACGCCCCCACCCCACCGATCTGCTTCACCTAGTCAGCTCCAGTGGGGTGAGGGTGTCTGGAGAGACTGCTCACCTGTCACCTGGGTAAACAGAGGGGAAGAAAGAGAGCACAGAAAGCACTTCTTTCTCCTGTAATCTCTCAGAAGGTTCCTGGAAGAGAATGTCTAACTCATGAGGTTACAAAGCAACTTCTCCAAATTCTCCAGTTCCCTAGAGAAAGTGAGACTCCTTTAGTAGGATCTAATACCAGCCAACCACAAACCTTTAAGCTCTCAGTATTTCTGGATCTCTTCGAAGGAAAAAAAAAAATTCTAGCCAATGTGGCAGCCATTATTCAACAGAAGAAAATAACAAGGAAGAGAGGAGGTAAGTGTACAAAAGGTGAAGTTTCTTCGCTGCCCAAATCTTCCCTAGATCAGGGAACAGGGGCAAGCTACTATTTACTGATTAATAAACGCTTATTGATTTGGCATCAATTATCTACTGAGTACAAAATCTTCTTCAGAAGAGGATGTTATAAAGGCTTGAAAGTAATTCCTGAGATCACATTTGTTTTTCACAGTAATTCCCGAAAAACCAAAGATGTCAAATGAAATACCCAGAAAGCAACAGAGCACTCTTTTTCTCTTCCTTGATCCTTGATCATCACTTCCTTTGGTCATGCCTGAACCAGCCAAGTCAGTTCCAGCCTCGGAGAAGGGCTCCAAAAAGGCGGTGAACAAGGTGCAGAAGGAGGATGGCAAGAAGCAAAAGCGCAGCCACTGAGAGAGCTACTCTGTGCACGTGCACACGGTGCTGAAGCAGGTTCACCCCAACACCAGCTTCTCGTCCAAGGCCACGGGCATCATGAACTTCTTCATTAATGACATTTTCCAGCATCTCGTCTGCCACATTACAACAAACCTCGATCATCATCTACAGGGAGATCCAGACGGCTGTGTGCCTGCTCCTGTTTGGGGAGCTGTCCAGGCACGCCGTGTCCAAGGGCACCAAGGCCATAACCACGTACACCAGCACCAAGTAAATTCACCAAGCAAACACCTCTGCTCTGAACCCCAACAGCTCTTTTAAGAGCCACTTTAAAAAAAAAAAGCAAGCAAGCCACAAAGTCTCATATCCATGAGTACAAAATACGCCCTAGAAAATCTCTGAATACACACATATATATTCCTCTCATACGTGGAAAAAAAAACGATCCTCAAAATATTAATAAAATCATCTCTGGTAAAACTTCAGAGGATCTGTGGGTTTTTTCTTCATACTTTTCAGTACTGTTTAGTATTCCTTAAGGTGAATACAGTATATTTGCAAGGAGAACAGAAATAAACTAAAAATCAATTTATGAAGAGTTTAAAGTAAGAAAACAGCTTCTGAGTATATTGTACAGAGGATGATCTATGAAGACAGCCACATAAAAATACACAGAGGAAAAATACATATACAAAATTATTAATGATTTATCTCTAGGGGCTGGAAATAAAGGTGATCCTGTCTTTTTCTGTCTTTACTGGGTTATCTCATTTTTCAGCACTTTCATAATATAAGAATCAATCTTCACTTAAAGAATCTAAAATGTGAAACAATTATTCACCCTCATTTTGAAAAATTCATTAATAAAAGTACATTGTAGACAGCATTTACTCAATAACGTACCTGGAATTAGTGCTGTACTGATAAGAATATCAACTTCCTTACACTGTTGAGCAAAGAGTTTCATTTCTGCTTCAATGAATTCTTTGGACATCTCCTTTGCATATCCTCCTTGTCCCTCACCAGATTCCTTCAAGTCTACCTCCAAGGGCTCAGCACCAAGGGATTTGAACTGCTCCAAAGCTGCAGCTCTTAAGGTAAATGTTGAAGAGAAGCCAGTGGTTAAAATAGAGTTTGTGTTTTAGGCCCCTTAATACAGGACCACTTACATACACATTTTTAAATATAGCGAAAGGTATACAATCAAAAGTGGTCTCTCAGACTGGAATGTTTCCATTTTACCTATAAGCAGGTTATACTTTTATGATCATTTTTTTTTTCTGGTATTAAAAAAAAAAGTATTGGGAATTCTAACTTTTACTTAGGTAAGTTACAAAAGGAATTTCACTGTTGCCAACTCCAAAAATCACTTATGTTCTTCATGGACCAGTGTTGTTTATTCTTTTTAAATTATCTATAATACACCGAAGTTTGATCCCTACTCAGATATTTTTTCCTGCTAAATAATATATTTTCACTTTGAGTTAGCTTTCAGAAAGTGGAAACATTTTTCAAATAAAGAGCTTATGGAGCAGTTTTCAATGTGCTACTTTAACTTATAAATTATAAGAAAAGCATAATGTCCACCCAAAACACAAAGGTTTCATCTTAATGCAAATCACTAGGAAACCACATACCTCGTGTCAAATCCTCGAACAATTGCACCCATAGACTTTGCTGCACCTGCAGAAGCAAGACCCGCAACACCACCACCAATGATCAGAATCTAGAAAAGGAGATAGAACTTGTTACTTTTTTTTAATAAAAGCTACTGTTAACTGAAAACTGACAAGCTATTAGTAATAGACTATGAAAAATTACAAGCTATTGTAAGCATTATAATCTGATGATCCAAAAATTGTATTGTTGTTTTAGGTGCTGTCGAGTCAGTTCCAACTCCCAGAGACCCTATACACAATGGAACAAAACACTGCCCAGTCCTGCACTATCCTCAAAATTGGTGCTATGCCTGAGCCCACTGTTGCATCCGCTGGGTGCATTTCGTTGAGGGTCTTCCCTGTCTTCATTTACCCTATACTTTACCAAAGGAACTCTGGTGGCATATTGGGTAAGGCATTTGGCTGCTAACCAGAAGGTCAGTGGTTCAAACCCACCAGCTGCTCTGCAGGAGGATGATGAGGCAATGTACATCTGTAAAGATTTACAGCCTTGGAAACCCAAAGGGGGTCACTATGAGTCAGAATCAACTTGATGGCAGTGGGTTTGATTTGTTTTGTTTTTTATACTTTACCAAGCATGATGCTCTTCTCCAGGGACTGGTCCATCCTGATAACATGTCCAAAGTATGTGAGAGGAAGTCTTGCCATCCTCAGTTCCAAGGAGCATCCTGGCTGTACTTCTTCCAGGACAGATTTGTTCATTCTTCTGGTGGTTTACGGTATATTTGATATTCTTCACCAGCACCGTAATTGAAATGCATCACTTCTTCTTTGGTCTTCCTTGTTCATTGTCCAGCTTTTGCATGCATATGAGGTGACTGAAAATACCATGGCTTGGGTTAGGCACACCTTAGTCCTCAAGGTGACATCTTTGCTTTTGAACACTTTAAAGAGGTCTTTTGCAGAAGATCTGCCCAATGCAATACACATCAGAGCTTAAATTCTAAAGCACTTGGGTTTGTGGAAGGCTGTGCGGTCTACAGTGGGAGCCCCAATTGTATTTTGAGTCTTGATATAAGTTCAGACCCCAGTTGAGTTCTTTCTGACCTTTAAATGAACACTATGGCTCTGGTAGCATAGTGGCTAAGGCACTTGACTGCTAACCAGAAGGCTGGTGGTTCAAACCCACCAGCCACTCCTCGGAAGGAAGGTTGGGCAATCCTACTTCCGTAGTGATACTGCCTCGGAAACCCAAGGAGGGGTCGCTATGAGTAGCGGCCGACTCAACAGCACATAACAACAACAACAACATGGCTATGCATAGTCAAGTTCCAGGACAAACCTATGGAGGGGCAGTTTGCCCTCAGGAAGAATGTGGTTGAAAGTAGATTATGCGCACACAAAAAACTAGGGAACTTGCCTGAGTGTGTCCTTTTCTAATTTAAATTAAAGTTGAGGTCCTGGTAAGACTCAGACTACATGGGTATGAGTCATATCCAGACCACCACCTAGACAGGTAGTCAAGGCCAAGAACTAATCCTGTAACCCTTTTTTTTAACCTTCAATTATGTATGTTTCCCAATTACCGTCTTTTCCCCACTTCCACAGTCCCTCCTGCAACAGTGATGAATCAATCTGCCACCAATCATGATTTTGTGATGATTCTCTTCATTTTCTATCATATATAATTAGCTGCATGGCCGTGACTCAGTGGACTCCATTCAGCTTTCTATGTTGAGTACATGCTGATGGTCCCACATCCTGAATGACTGTCTCTGTTTTGTAGTTATCCTGTCAAAGGCTTAATAAAACCATCTCCATTGGACCTGTTTGAATCTGGAGTCTCTTTTTCTCTACCACAAATACATTATTTCATCTCTTGACTCATGCTTCTATGGTTGTTGATGGTGGACCCAAACAAAACGAAAACCTTGATAACTTCAGTCTTTTCTGTGTTTATCATGGTGTTGCTTATTGGTCCAGCAGTGGGGACTTTTTATTTCTTTATGTTGAAATGCAATCCACACTGGAGGCTGTAGTCTTTGATCTTTGTCAGTAGTAAGTCCTCCATTAAAACACGTCCACCATGGGTGACCCTGCTAGTATTTGCAATACCGGCAGCATAGATTCCAGCATCACAGCTGGAATAAGCATCACATAAGCCACCACAGTACAACAAACTGACAGACAAGTGACGGATCCAAAAGTAATAAGCTAAAAAAATTATAAGATATGTGCCATGTATCTCTGGAACACAGCATTCAATAAATGCTGCTGTTGCTGCTGGTGGTGGTGGTGGTGGTGGACATGATAATGATCAGCCTTCAATAATTCAGTGGATGGACCACTCTTGAGCTGAACCACCACTGTGTTTAAATTGTTACCAAAAGAACAACTGCTGGAAAGGTGAACAACTTTCATCTAAAAATAGCCTGACAATCAGCTTTCAGGGTAAAAGCTAATACAGCAAGATCAGTACTACATATGTAAAAGATTAACACCATCTTTCGCACAGACTAAAAACTACTTCTACTAAAATTCCCAGGTGGCATCCTAATTCTCTCTCCCCACTCAGATTCTAAGATTTTTCCCATGTCCATAAAATATCAAAATAAGCTTTGAAGACAGGTACAAGTCTAGTGAAACATCTATGCCAACGTCTATTTTCAGCGTGAGGTTTGTGAAAGAAACAGCTGCAATCAACCACATCATTTTCAATCTTTTTGAACCATCTGTACCTGAAACCCAAAGCAATGTAGTTAATCTCCATAACCATGGAAAGATCAGGGCTAAGAGAACCAAGAATACCTCAGAAACAAAAGCCTCCTCTTCTCTTTAAGAAACAAAATAAGAACAATGTTGTCTGCACTCAAGAAAGGGACTTCCAGAGGAGTAGTGACTGGGATCTTAAAAGCTTGCAAGCAGCCCTCTAGAGGCAATGATGGGTCTCTCCTCGTCCCAAGTAAAGAATGAAGAAAACCAAAGATGCATGGAAATAATTAGTCTAAGGGACTGGTACACCATGCAGTCCTCAGCCTATATGACTATGAAACCAGAAGAACTAGATGGTGCCCATCCTACCACTGTCAATCACTTGGAGGGGCATCTATGTAGTATAGGAGATCCTGGATAGAGTGGGAGAAAAATGTGGAACAAAACTCAGAATCATTAAAAAAAAAAAAAAAAGGGATCAGGTCTGCTGGTCTGATAGAGCCTGGTGAAACCCCTGAGACTATGGCCCCTAGCTGTCCTTCAGGTCTGGAACTGAACTACTTGTGGCTTCCAGCCAAGCAAAAGATAGGCATATGACCTGAACATTTACATTAGGTAGATATACTTCTTGGAGAGATCAATCATGGGAGAATAGAGGGCTGTGTGTACACAGGGAGACAGCTTGGGGGGCAGGAGTGCATGGGAGAGAAGGACACAGGAAAGAGGTAACTATGGGGCAGAAGTGGGAGGCGAGCTGTTGCAATGTGGGAAATTGCAGTCAATGTCATGAGACAAAGTGTATGTGAGCTGCTGAATGGAAAGTGAATTTGCTCTGTAAAATTTCACCTAAATCACAATAAAAATTGGAGGAAAAAAAAAGAAAGAAAGCACCTTCCATCCTGTGGCTTCAAGCCAAACAATAAACAGGCATATAAAGTGAACATTTACACCAGGTAGGTGCACTCCTTAGAATGAACAACCATGGGAGAACAGAAGAGCAGTATTTGCACAGGGAGTTAGCTCAGAAGGCAGGAATGCATAAAAAAGGACACAGGGAAAAGGTAACCACAGGGAGCAAGCGGAAAGAGAGCTCTTGTGTTGTGGGGATTACACTCAATGTCATGAAACAAAGTATGTATGAACTGTTGTACAGAAAATTAATTTTCTCTGTAAACTTCCACCCAAATTACATTAAAAGAAAAAAGAAGAGGCCTTCCAGAGAAAGCCCTGTTAAACTTCCCATAAACTTTCAATTGAACTCCTTGTTCCTATGGAAAATAATGCCACCCACACAAAAAGCAAAGCTTATAAATTCCTACCCACCCATTATGCCCACATGCCTTTTCAGAAAGACTAGACTAGTCAAACTGTATTCCCAGGCATTGTCTCAGAGATCTGCTAAGCTTTTGCTGTTGCTGATGACCATTTCTTTGGGGGAAGGGGTAAATCTACAGAAAAGAAGACAAAAGGACAGGAGGGAGCAAGCAGGCCCAGGGCTTCAAGGCATCAACACTGCAACCTTGCTCCACACCTGAAGCCCCACCATTGCTAAACAAACAAACAAACGAGGATGAAAAATAAATCACAGGACTAGGCCAAGTTATCCTGAATCAGCAAATTACAATCAATTCCCTAATTTAAAAGGCTAAATCCCACAAGATTAAAACAATACAGGTCCTACAACAGAAATTTAGGTTTTCCCTGTAGGATGGGGTAAAGAAAAAGACACAGAAACAGAGAGCTTAGGTTCAAATCCTGATTGTTGCAAACTAGTTCTGCGTGACTTTGAGAAAGCTGCTTAACATCGGTCATAGTGCAATCAAAATACCTTCAAGGACAGAATGTAAAAAAAGCACTGACCACTTCCTGGAACATCATGCACATATACTCAAGAAAGAGTAGGGGAAAGGGCAAGGGAAACGAACAGCCTTAACAATGTCCTTGATTTCCAGTCATTGGCAACCACTCCATCTCTGGGCTTCCCCACCGCAGTAAGGGGCACTAACGGTGCACACAACTGTTCAAGCCCAAATGTAAAGGTCACCTTGAGTCCTCCCTGTGCCACAGCTCCACCTCCAATCCATCAGCAACTCCTGTCGGCTTTAACCTCTAAAACCAAAGAAACCAAACTCACTGCCATCAAGTCGATTCCAACTTAAAGTGAAACCCATTGGTTTCCAAAGTTGTAAATCTTTACAGAGGCAAACTGCCTCATCTTTCTTCTGCAGAGCAGCTGGTAAGTTCAAACCACCAACCTTTTGGTTAGCAGCCAAATAAATGCCTTCACCTACACTACCAGAGCTCCTTTTTAACCCCTAAAGAACTCCCAATCCATCCTCCATCCCCTTCTCTACATCTCTGTTGCCATCACATCATAACCTTTCCACCGATTGATTTTAGTTCATTCTAGACAAGAACCTTCCATGTTTAGAGGAAATCCAAAGAAAATACTATGCAATGCACCTTGGTGAGCTTAACTAGCATCTCATACTTCAATATTAGAAAAATACTTTTGACATAGAACCAAAATCCCTTAACTGCAATGTAAATTCTCAGTAAAGACTTTTCCCCTTTTAAAGGCTATTCGGTGGTTCTTTCTTTAAACCTTTTGTCTTTTGTTTTACTTTTTAATCCCTTATATTTGCAGCTTTTGTCTCAATGTCCAGGTTCTTCTAGAAAGATTCCAACCAGAGCTGAATATTAAATTTTTGCATTAAAACACTCAGTCAGTTTAAGAACAAGAGTGAACTTCTGGAGACCACAAGTGCTGGACATTTTCTCAGGATTCTGAGAAAGAAGTCAAAATGTAATCACCTCATACACCACATCTGTGGTGTCTGCTCTTCCTTGCTAAGTAGGTTGGCCTCCTCTTAAACCAGAAAACTTTAGTCTTCGTTTATATTCACTCTCCAAGTTAAATTCTTTTTTTCTAATTCTTATTCAGCATCAAACAAGCCACCCTCCAAGAACCTTTCACCACAATTGCAACTGACACAGTGAAAACATTTATAAAGTAAAAAATGATGAACAGCCCTAGGTCTAAACCTGATGATCCATTATGTATTGCTTACTGAGACAGTAACCCTCACAAAACATGTTATCATTTTCTACCATATATCCGATTTTTTATTTATTAAATATTAAACACCTTAAATCTCTTACAATAATACATCTTAGAATAACCATGCCATAAAGTAAGTGCTCATCTCCACCCAAAAGAAATCATAAAACAGAAGCAAAGAGAAAATGCTGTACTGTGTGTTCATTCCTTATAACCATACTGGTCCCTCTCTTCTCCCTCTTTCTTCTTTTCTTCTCTTGTCCCTCCCTCTTTTATACTTTTCGCTAGTTTTCTTCACCTGGTCTGTTTTTCAAAGCAATATATATTTTTCAAAACTGCTATGACTTTCTTTCCATTTCTTCAAATTTCTTTTGTGTGTGAATTCCAGGTTTCTTTAACAAAGTATGTAAGAGTTGGAAGCACCAATAAACTTGTATCCTGTACCCAGAGAGGGCAGTAGACAGGTAGAGGACAACGTTTACGATGCCAAGGGTTAAGTGTCCACATCAGTAAGTATATTTAGTGCTGAAGGGTCACAATGCAGTACTCCTGTTCTCTCACCTCACAGTCCTTACCACAGTCACTAACTGCTCCTTCCTGCTCTGAGTCAAGATTAAAGAAAGTGCACTCTTCCCCTCAACCAGTGATTAGCACTGCTTCCCATTTTCTGTCTTCTTGACCCAAATTTAGGGAAAAGGCAAGGAAACGAAGAAAGCCCTTTCTATGAAACAAACTGTCACAATAAAACCCAAAATTTGCTAAATGGTATCTTGACACTTGGTTGCGGGGGGAGAGTAATACAGAGGCTTGTGGTAGTTCAGTTTATGTGTCAACTTGGCTGAGCCTGGTTAAATGGCTGGGCAGCTGGATGTAGTCTTCCCCATGATAAGACTGGTAATCAACTCCATAGTGAGATCTACCGTGAGCAGCTGAGTAGCTGCCTTAGGGACCGTGGTCTGCTTCCTGTATATAAGGAGAAGCCTTGGGGAATGGTCTCTAGCCTATGGCACATTTGGTCCCTGCATGTAACTGTGTTATTGTTCAGCAGCCTGCCATGCTCTGCCGACCTTGGGACTTACAATGGACTTAAGTTAATGGCCTGCTGTGTGGTTTGGTAACGTCGGGACTGTGCCTTTTTACATGTCAACCTTGGGCTTCTCAGCCTCAGCAGCAAGCAGCTGAGTGAAGACACACCTCCAGCTCCAGTGGGCCGGGAGCAGGAGGCAGAGCCGGACCCCAAAGCTGAGGGGCTTTCACCCAGCCCCTAGAGCCTGGCACTTTGAACTTGGACTTAAAGCCTCCAAACTGTAAGAGAACAAACTCCTGTTTGTTAAGGCCTTCCCATTTGTGGTGTACTCATGTCACAGTGGCAATAGGTAACCAGAACAAGGCTATAAAGAACAAGTTAGCCTGGGAGCCCCTACAGATTCCAGTTAGGAAGGCCAAACAGGAAAGAAAATTAGAACTTTCAGAAAAGTCAAAATTCCATTTTTCAAGCAGTCTAAAATGTTAAGCTTTGGAAGTTCCATTATATATTTATTTGTACAAGCCACAAAAGTCATCAGCATAAAGGTAATACAAAACAAACATTAAAAATAACTGTATATGGTTGTTGGAAGGGCTGTTGAGAAGTTTCCAACTCATAACCACCCACGTACAACAGAATGAAACTCTGCCCAGGTCCTGAGACATCCTCACAGTCACTGCTGTGTTTCAGTACATTGTTGCAACCACTGTGTCAATCCATCTCGTTGAGGGTCTTCCTTTTTCTTCACCGACGCTCTACTTCACCACAATGTCTTTCTCCTGATAACATGGTGCCTTCTGATTACATTTCCAAATTACATGAGACAGTGTCTCACCATCCTTGCTTCTAAGGAATATTCTGTCTCTACTTCTTCCACGACAGATTGGTTCATTCAGGCAGTCCATGGTATATTCAATATTCTTAGCCAACATCACAATTTAAATGCATCAATTTTTCTTCAGTCTTATTCACTGTCCAGCTTTCTCATACACATACAAGGCAATTAAAAATACCATGGCTTGGATCAGGAGTACCTGAGTCCTCAAAGCGACATATTCACCATTTAACACTTTAAAGAGGTCTTTTGTAGCAAGTTTTCCCAATGCAGTATATCATTTGATTTTTTGACCATTGCTTCCATGCACATATATTAAAACTATTCATTCTCTTGCCTTAATGAATGAACATTTGGATGAAACGTTAAAAGGTTTGCCTACCTTAGCTGGAGGTACTTTTCCAGCAGCTGTGATCTGACCAGTGAAAAACCGTCCAAAATGATTTGCTGCTAGTACAACAGCCTTATAACTTAAAAAAAAAAAAAGAGAGAGAAAAGGAAAGAAAGAAAATTTAAGATCTTAGGTTCATAAGGCTTAAATAAGTGAAGCTTAGCTGTCAAAAAGTAATGGCTAATGTTATTATAGTGCTTTCTATGCACCAACAACAGCTCTAAGAGCTGTATATATATTTATCCTTCAACCTTAACCACAAGCTTATGGGTACAATTATTATCTTCAATTCAGAAGTGAGGGAACTGAGGCACTGAGAGATGAAGAAACTTGCCCAAGGTCACCCAGCTACTAAATTGCAACACCAGAAGTCTCCCCAGCCAATCTGCCTATGGAGACACACTCTTATCCACAATGACATCAGCTCCTTGATAAGAAATATTTTGGAAGCTCAGTTGAGACAGGAAAAAAGAAAACGAAAGAAATACAAGAAAATACTAACAGCATTTTTCTCTGGGTGCTGAGATTACAAATACTTCAAACTTTTTGTTTGACATTACGATAATGCCCAAATATTCTTTGATGTCTACGTAGTTACTTATATAATGGGAGGAAAATAATTTTATAATTTTTAAAAAATTGCTACAGAGAGTTCCAGTGGTAGACTAGGCAGAAAGACTGCATAGACCCTCTTCAACAAAGAAAAGGGAAACCAATTAACACAGACACAGAAGATAATCCTGGAACCTTGAGACATGAAGGGAAGGATACATAAGTGGACGAAACCCCAAGTAGCAGAAGAATTTGCATGAAAATACCAAAAAAGGAGACAGACGGAGCTGCGGTCTGGTAGCAATCCTGAGCAATCCAGATGGCATGGCACAGACAGCTTGGAGACTCCCGAGTGGGTGGTAAGACCTAAGAAGTAACCTAAAAATCAGCCCTGCTAGCCAGGGACTGCACAGAGGACTGCTCTGGTGGCTGGGGAACAAACATAGAAGGTGAAGAGAAACACAGGCTGCGCTGTGGACTTTTGCCAGTCTAGAGGGCACCACCATTTTGAACGTTTAAAAGCGGCTTGACTATTTTGGATATTTAAAGAGGCAGCACTTTCACACTTTACTGGGGCTTAAGAACACATTCTGCTTGCCAGCAACCCCAAGGACCCTCCAGACCTGCAAGACTAAAAAGCTGAGTGAGAAAAAGCAACAGTCCCCATAAGACACAACTACACCCACACCTCCTGCGACTTCACTTAGGGAGTGAGATCCACTTCCTCCTCCTCCACCAATGGGATAACAATAAAAAACCACCAATAAGAGCCTGAATCACCCTTGGCTGCTCTTCACAAACAATTAACAGAAATCTTAATACAATACCACGATGCCTCGGAGATAACAGAGCCATCACAGTCCACACAAAGAAGCAAGATAAAGTGGTAGAAACAAGGGAACAGGATACAAACCCAGAACACATCCCTGAGGAAAAAGCAGCACTGGAACTCTTGATAAGGAATTCAAAAGAACGATATTTAGGTATCTTCAAAGGATTGAGAGACAGACCACAGAAAACACCCTAGAAGAATTTTGGAAGAAAATACAAGAACAAAATGACAAAAT